CAGAGCAGTCCTTCTATCAGGAGCTGGTCATAGGAGGACCTCCTGGAGGGGAACCATTTTTGTTTCATTCACTTTACAGTCTGTTGCTTGCTTTTTTTGGCTCATGCAGTAGCTTCATTGATCCTCGCAGGCCTTGTCGTTAGCTGCGGTGGTGAGTAAGGTAGTTCATAAATCCACACACTACTGAAACACAATGACCAGCAGGCACGAGAATCAGTCAGGAGAAAGAAAGGACGCCCAGGGAACAGTGAATCCATCACACATTTCAAAACCAGTGTTAGCTCCCTATTTTTGGTAAGTTTAAACATGAATGCATGTGAATTGCTTTAAAATAAAATATAACACTTTAAAATAAAATTATGACACTCCCTACAATTTTAAGAGGATGGAATTTTAGAAGTCATTTCAATGAGTCCTCAATGTCACAGCTTTCCATGGAATGGCCAGTGACACCCGAGAGAGCAGGCTGATACTCTTCCCAAGCCCCCACCCTGCTCTGGCCAACCTTTGCCTGCAGCTCATCCAGACTTCCCTGTCTCTGCATCTTCTTAGTTGCTTCTAGTTATGATGGGATGTTTTACCCCTTTCTGACCCCTCTTCTTGCTTCTCTGAAGCCTCTTTTTGACTGTGTCTCTATCCACTGTAGGCCCTCCAAGAGCAGAGAGTGAGGGCCATTTTCTCTCCATTGAACTCAAATCTGTACATACCTGATGGTCTTTACCGGTGTTGTCTGCAGTTTCCTGCTATCATTGGTGAATCAGTTTTTGTTAAAATGCCTTATATTCCCATGATATGGAATTATGTTCCGTAATCTTTAAGCAATTCCATATGCAACCAGAATGTTTTGGTTATTGGGATGTTGTGGCCAAGGTGCAGCCTTCAGCAAAGAGGTGAGTTCGTTGCTGAGCTGTCTTACATTTCTGCTTTCTGACAGAATGACAGGATTTTTTAAAATGTAAACATATCAATTTAGCTGTATCTTAGCCTTGGTTTGTGCAGGGTTTTCTTAATCAGTACCCTGTGGGCACTGCAAAGAGGTTGAATGTGAATATAATAATCTACACATGAAAAAAAAAATTATTAATTTTGAGGAAAAGGGGAAAAAAAACCCCTACATTCATCTGATCCAGAGACAATTTGCTGTAGCACTTACTATGCTTCCCTTCCAAAACACCAGCTTCTCCTGTGGAGATCTGGTAGTGAACAATTTAGTTGGTTTTATAGTAATGTTTGTCTGATGAGAGTTAATTTCTTTTTTTTTTTTTTTTCTACGAATAACTCCTGAAATTTGAGAAAGATTTGCTTCTGATCAGTTCTGAACAAGTTCTGATTAAAGCGTCCAAAGGGATTCTGGCTTTCAGTAGTCTGCAAAGCAGACTGCTTTGTGCATTTAAATATTTTCCCTAATGTCTGTGGGGACTTACATCCAAATACAAAAGAGAAAATGATCATCCTGTCTCTGGATATAAAACTGAGAAGCAGTTTGTAATGACTGTCCAGCCTCTCCAGCTTAGTTATCTTGACCTCTCCTACAGCTTTACTTGCAACCTGTTGTTTCCAAAATGCAGTCAGCTTGTGAAAATAGGATACAGGGCTTGAAGTTAATTAATCAAACTGCAAAAATGGATAGGGCAAAAGGACGATGCAGTGTTTCCTTAGAGCAAGTGATGGAAACTAGAGGATGGGAGAAAATAACAAGTGACTTGGTACGATTTAGCTACAATTGCAGGAATAAACCCTATAATGTTTTCTTAGAAAACTAATGGTTATGTTTTATTCCATGGTGCTCTAGGTCTGTATGTTGGAATAGATGCCACATGACATTCAAAAATGTATAGACGCGCAACTATCTAAGTAGAAAAGTGGTAATTAAAAAGATGGGTGGCACATTTAGGAGAATTATCTCAAGCCACTACAGCAGCATCAATCTGCAAAGCAGCAGTTTTAGCTGTAACATTTCTTTGTTGTTTCTGTCTTGCCGATCATTTTTATTGTGTAAGGACAGAAAAAGCTTTTTGACAAGAGAAGTGTGAGTTTCTAGTTTTAAAAGGATTCTTTTTTAAACAATTAGTGCTTAAGGGTAAACAGTCTAGGAAGGAACAGTGTCATTTTCCCCTTTGCTCCCTTCCCCCGTAGCTTTTCCTTTAAATATGTTGGAACCCTAATCTGTGCTCTTTGGAGCAGAGGTAATGAAATTACAGAAAGGATGTGAAAAGTATCTGCAAAGGTAAGCTAATACTTTCCATTGTGCAAACCACAGATATACTGCCTGAAGACACATAATATGAGAAAGTTAAATGAAAGAAATCAATATGAGGAAAGATTTTATTTTTCATTTAGGTTTTAGACATCCATTTGGCAAAGTTACTTAAGAAGTATGCTTAGGTCCATTTAAATCATTGTTAATTCATCTGTGTTTTCAAGATGTCTGACATGCCAGATAGGTAATTCATCTTATGCAGCTGCAATATACTTGGTCAGAGAGATCATGCCTAGCATTTCTAATGCAGAAAGTCCTGGGTCTGATATTCACTGCTGATAGGGATATTTCCATCCGTGTGCTCCCTGGCTGTTACCCAATGCTGCCTCTGAGATGTCAGTTTACAACTCTACCCATGACACTTAGTTCTGATGAGGTTTGTTCCAAAGAAAGCAATATAGTATTTTAGAAATAAAAAAGATAACTTTTCTAAAATGTTTTCTTATCCATTCTGATATTTTGCATTCTCTAATATTAAACATTTAACAGACACACCAATTTTTTCTGTGCTTTTAGGAAGAAAGTGGGCCTTTTTCATATATTTCACCCCGACTGAATCTTACTTTGGCTTATTAATAAACTGACAGTTTGAAACAATAGAATCAGTTGTTTTCCACTGAGTGTCTATATGTACTTTCACACCACAAACAGGCATATTTCCAAGCACTCAAGTCAAATACTTTAGCCTTAGCAGTACCCACAGATGCGCCTCTGCTATACCTGCCGTACACATCATGCACATGATGTGAGTGATCATTGCACATCCTTTTATAGTGACTTTCAGACATCTGGCTAATTCTGGAGTGGTGTTTTTCGTTCTGAGATTCTTGAGAGGTGTGTTAAACTGTCTGACCATTCCCTGTACCTGCATCCCAGAACTAGACACTGCAAAGGGTGATCCTGCAGTGTGAATCTCCACACTGACCAGTCACCTGAAGAAAAGAGGAAGGCTGCTTTCCAGGAACTGGGTGTTTTTTGAAATGTGCATGTGCACAGTCACGCTTCATGTTCCTCTTAGAGGAATGTATGTTAAGCTTGTCTTTTAACAACAATCCTTAAAACTTTTTTATTATTTGAGGCTATAACACAATGTATCTTAAATGTTATCTCTGTGTGCGTGACAAATTTCATTATGCTCCCAAGTTCCCCCTGTGATTTCAGTTGAACATCTTTTACCTTCAGCTCTGGTTGTAAGTTGGGGCACACTATTTAACAGTTGTTGAAGTTCACTTCAGAGGCAGCTGCATATGGGTGGTGAGTAGCCCAGTTCCTGTAAGGTTCTTTATGTTCTTTTAAGATGAAGGGGACTACATAAATATAAAACATCAATCTATTTGCATAACTCTGCTTTGTACTTGCTACTTGTATTTTTCTTTTTAGTCTGCAGAGGTGTGCAGGAAAAGTATTCGATAGATGCATATGTTCTGGGTGAACTATCAAGAAAGAATTTAAGTAAACTGAAAAATAACATCTTCCAGTCATTCATCTCTCAAATATAGATATTTTGTGAAATTTCATTTCGAGTAATTGGATGGTTTATGAGTACCTATTAGCTAGTTATGCTAACAGAGAAAAAGAAATCAAAAGGATGTATGGTTGAGCCAGAGCTTTCACAATACTGCTTCGTTTAAAGCCAAGTAAAATGCTGCAGGCATGTTAAAAATAATCAGTGTGGTATGCCACCACCAAAACTGTTTGTATTTGTAGGAGATTGATATGTTAATTGGTGTCTTGGCTTCAGATAGGATCTGTAGAACAGCTTTGAGATGCACAGCCCAAATGATGTTTGTGTGTTTTATTCATATTTAACTGAATTGAATTGATTTTCCCGGTTTTATAAACATAGATACAAATTCATCTTGGGTTTTTATATAGCTGTGAGGAAGATGTTGTTTTGTTACTATAAAAACATTTGTTTTGGACTTGAGAGTACTGAAGCAGCTTTTCTTATGCTTGCTTGTGTGTTTATGGCTTTAGAATATTGTCTTACTCAGAGTAGCCCTGTCACCAGCTGGGTTGGTAGGGTGCTAGAAGAGGATCTTGGGATCATCTCCTGTGGAGATGAAATTTTATTTAAAACTCTGGAATTTGTATTCAGTCCAATCAGAGGTTGGACATTAATGTGTGGCAGAGTGGAAATGCAAGACTTTTCTACAAGATTCTACGGGGATGTGACTCTGCATCCTTAATGAACAGACGTGGTTTGGCTGATGATTCCACATCAGTCAGGCGTGGAATACAGATATTTACTTTTTAAGACGGTTTCATAAATAATATTTGTTCCTCTGGTTTTCAGTCAGGTGCCAATAGTAGGCATAAAGACCCTCTTTGTTTCACTGCCTTTCCACCTTGATCCCTCTGTTTCCTTTCCCTCCTGTCGTCCCATGTTTGTCATCCTGATGTGTCGGTCTGCACCCTGTCGGGAACCTGCTACATGCAAATGATTTCCCACTCGTAGTAACTCTAACATTTATAAAGCATGTGTTCTGCACAGGAGAAATGGGATGAATGCCAGTTTAGAGACAACAAACAATAATGGAGCTGAGAAAATCTGGATAGGGAGTGGTGCTATGCAGCAGCATGTTCTGCTGACCTTTTCTGCTGAAGCATGCAAATGTGAATCTTAGGTGCGTTTTGGAAGAAAAAGTTGTCTTCAAACTATGGAATTAAATACTCATAACTATTACCAGGGAGTCTGCAGGTTTTTTGACCTTCCAAATACTAAAAAATATATATCTGTTTTTCACAGGAGAATCCTTTTAAGGAAAGAATTGTGGAATCTTTCTCAGAAGACGGAGAGGGGACCCTCAGCTTCAATGATTTTGTGGATATGTTCTCTGTGCTCAGTGAAATGGCTCCCAGAGAGCTTAAAGCAATCTATGCCTTTAAGATCTACGGTACTGTACTGGGATGCTTGTGTACCCCTTTTTTATTCGGAGCAAATGAGTATGAGAGTTGTTGGTGATCTTTTCTTTGGTTCTCTTATTATTTAGATTTTAACACAGACAACTTCATTTGTAAATCAGACTTGGAAAAAACCCTCAACAAGCTGACCCGAGAAGAGCTAACAGCAGAGGAAATCACTCTAGTTTGCGAGAAAGTGATAGAAGAGGCTGACATGGATGGTGATGGGAAACTGGGATTTGCAGATTTTGAAAACATGATTTCCAAAGCACCAGACTTTCTCAGGTATTGTTTTAAGAAAAATATAGTCTCTTGCATATTTTCAGGGGTGGTGTTTGGTTGTTTTTTTTTTTTTTTGAGTATCACTGTGTAGTGTAATACAAGAAATGTCAGACATAAGTACTTTACCGGAGAGCTGGCTAGAGGATGACTTCTTACCTGTACTCAGTTTAATTTTGTAGAGCATATTCCAGTTCTTTCCTAACTTGAAGACTAAGAGCTCAATGGCTTTTAATTATCTCCTTTTTTTCCTGTTTGTGTGGTTTCTTCAGGAAAATATTTTGATCTATTCTAAGCTCAATTCATATTGTTCTCAAGCCTATAGTAAGGATCCATGCTATCTCAATAGGAATGTGTGTAAATATTGTATACATATTACAGCTATACATGGAAACACATTGATCTTTTGTGCTAAGAAGGTGAGAGCTAGTGGACATTACAGTGATACAGTTCATGCTGGTAGCAGAAAATCAATTAAAGTTAGTAGTTAGTACAGTCTTTCTTTGATTCACTGCTAATCAGGGTTTTTTTAATAACTGACTTTTTAAAAATTTTTGTTGCTCGGTTTCTTCCTAATAATCTGTAGTTAAAACCCAGCTATCTTAAGACAGTTTTTCTTGCACATTTCATATTTAAAGAGACCTTTTGAAAAGCACAATGAGTTTTTATTTTTACACATTGATCAAACTTTCTATGTAAACTTATAATTAAGGCTATTACTTAAGTAATACAAAGGTAGACCTTCTTTAAGAAATTACAGTGAATCAACCATAAAAATAAAATATTCCTAGACTAGGAAGAGTTCATACTTGAAGCCACTGACAGAATAGGCTGAAGCTAAAACCTAGGTCTAATTTCTCCCCAAATTCAGTGGTCTGGTTTAACTATATCTAATAGTAAATGCTTGATGACCTGAATTTTTATTTTTTTTTAATCTTTGTTCATACACGTTCTTGTTAAGTTGGTAGAGTAGCTGTTTGGTGATAATTGATAAGAACAGGTAAGTTCTAACATCTGGGAAGATAAACAATCCAACAATTAGACTGTAGGCAGGTATACAGGATGATTGTAGGTTGTTTTGGGAATGTTTGAATTAGTAAATTCTGGTTTCTGCGGACTTGGGTCTTCTCAGATATCAGCCAACTAATCAGAAGGAGTTTAATTTCAGTTTTCTTGGCTGCAGTTAAGGCACGAAGACTGGTTCATCTATGCAGGTATTCTGTTGTCTGGAAAGGTGCAGAATTATTTGCATCTTTCTGTGAAGTGGAATACTTAGAGACTCTTTTTTTACACAGCTGCCTTTTTGCAGGAAATTGGCAGAAACTTAATCACCTTTCAGGCATTTGTTGAATTCTGCCAAAGGATTCAGAAGTTACTGCAGAGGATTAACAAAGGTCACAGTCAGACTGATTGAATAAACTATTTTTGTAGGAAATAAGGATAAACATTAGGATAGAATTAAGACAGATCAAAATTTGGGATGATAATCTTAATGCTAATGGTATTTAAGAACTTCTAAGTGTCCTGCAGAACACAGAAGAGTTTTTCTTTCGTAAATGAAATTCCTGAGGAAGGATGTTATAACAAAATGATTCTGCAGTAAAGCATGAGGATGTGATCCCAGTGAACCCTGAGAAACGTCAGCGTCTGGAGAGGATTAAAGTTAGTGTGGATGTCTCTTATACATTAGAAACATATCAGCCATTTCTTGAATAATCAAGTGTATCAAAGGAAACTCTTTTAGAACAAGATACTTACCATTGTTATGGTGAGGCTCAGCTGAGTAGGTATTCTAATACTTTGTTTACATTTATTTCCAGCTAAGAAAATGTTTTCTTTATACTATCATCCATATGGAAGCTGCTGGGTTCAGGTAGAATTTCCTTTCATCAATGAAAAGGCTGTACTGTACCTGCAGATCTGGTTGAGAACGCAGATTAAATGTGAGGAATTGAAGGCAGATCTGAAGACTCAGCAGAAGGTGTAGTTTCAGTAGTTTCCTGTGCCATGACTGACTTTACTGCAGTGTTGCAGAGGCTTGCAAAGTGCTGACTGAGAACTCCAAGCTGAGGATGCTGTGCAATCCAGTCACTTCCTGAGAAAGTAGCAGAGGGGAATAATTGCCACTGTAGCTATTGGAATGACTGTCATAATCATTTTTCTGTTGCAAGTTTGTGATGATTTGGGAAGCTGAGTAGATGAAAGACCTGAGTGCAGGGTATTCAATAGGGCAAGAAGACAGGTAAAAAGAGGGATGAAGTGAAAAGTACAGAGGTTGTTGTAGCTTAGGTAGAGAGAAAATAGAGGGAGGAATCACTGGCTACTGATAATCTCAAAGGACCAGCCTACCAAGTACTGGAAGACTGATCATCCAATTGCTCAGTTTAAACGTGTACTTTGATCCATGTTTGTGCCATGGTGAACTCCTGTGATCAGGGTGTCTCCCTGATGTTCAGGATGGCAATGCGTATGTTTAAGGTAGATTTCTTCCATCCCTGTCTTCCAGGAAAGTGGTAACTTCTGGCTCCTTTCAGATACAGGAGACTCGCTGCGTCACAGGATTCAGCTCTGAAGTCCTCGGGCTTAAGAGCTCCTGATGTGACAGGATCTAGAGAAGGGTTTCCTTCCACCTTGTAGCTGAAGCACTGGTTTAGAGCCTCTACTGTTAACTCGGCAACATGTTTTTTAACCTTTGAAGCTGTATTGCAAAATGAGGGTGTAAATGGAAAAGTCTCAGAGCCAAGAAGAGAACGTGCAGTTTCTCTGATGTGGTTTCTGTTTCAGCCAGAGTTAACAGCTGCAGGAAACAAGGTGACAGGGTCATGAGACCACTTTTATCCAAACCAATCTGTATGGAAGACTCGATACCTCTCCCTTATTGTGGTTTCCTTTTGCCTGTAAAGGTATTTTAATTTTTGAGGAGATTCTTAAGCATGTATTTGCTGCATGCACTGCATCATAGACTGACGTATTTGTTAATGCTGAACTTCCTGATCGGAGCCACTTACTCTCAATTTTTAAATACACATTTTTTAAGTGTGTGAATGTTGCATTCTAAAGAGAGACAATGATTTGACTATTGGAACATGATCCATTTAATTTTAATGCCACGATAGGTACACAAAGGTCTGACTGGGGACTGAAACTAAACCAGTGCTCTCTGATAGTAGCCAGTGCCTGCTCGCATGTGACAGAACGTGTGACATGGGACAAGAGGGCAATTCCTGTAGCTGATCTCTTGCCACATAAAACCCAGTTCCTATTCATTGAGTTCAATTATACCGTAACAGTCTTGGACACTTTACCTATTCATTTAATGAAAGAACGCTTTCTTTTATCTTTGTAAATTTATCTCTGACTTGGTTTATGCACTTTCCTTGTCCTCTCTTCTGTGCCTTCAGCTGTAATGGTCCTGTTAAGTGACAACCATAGGCTGTGTGCAGCCAAACTGAAGACAGGGCTGTGCAGTTTCACTGTGTAATATCATAAGCAAAGCACAGGAAATATCTTAATAGTGGATCGACAACCCTATAAGCCAGTGGTAAATTATGCCTGAACTATCATCTTAATACTGTAAAAAGATGAGAAAAACATGTTTTCATCTAAATAAAATTGTCCATTTTGCAATGTTCAGCAGATGCATGGAAGAAATACCAATCCATCAATGTCCAGAGACAGTCATAATTTCATTTGCTTTTGCATGTCTCCACTTCTTGTGCCCAGTGGAATGCATTCCAGACTTGAAATGCAAGGAAGCCTAAGTGCCTATTGATTTATACTTTCAACTGCTCAGCAGCTGTGAAAATGAAATACCTAGGAACCAGAGCAGTATCCACTTTTGCAGATGATTGCCAGTGAGCAATGGGAGATGCTGGATAACTGCAGTATTCTGAGACTTTGCTGTGAAGCTCTGGGCAATCAACGTTTCTGAATATCTGATGCTAGAATACCGTACTGGCATCTGGCGTGTGATCCTTTTGAAAGTGCTGACTAACTTACCAAACGCCAGATGATTTTTATTTGTAGTAAAGGATTTATTATTCTCTTTTCCCTTTCCCCCCACCGAAAGCCACTTCTGCACATCATAAGGGTTGGAAGTTCAGGATGCTAGGCAGTTAGGTTTTATCCCTGGCTCTGCTGTTACTTGAGCACAGCTAAGCCACAGATCGTTTTGTTCTCCCTGCTCTGCTGTGTGGGACCAGTGCTTACATGACTTGTGACAAACATTGAAAACTCTTATAATATGAACTATCCAACTGTAAAATCTCATCGTCATTAAAATGAGGTATGAAATTACTGAGGAAGAATACCTTCTTTACCCCCTTTGTGGAAAACCTTTGAAGGCTGGATTCCTGTAGCAATGTATACTCCATTTTTTAAGTGCTTTTTTCACACAGCTCAGGATGTTTTGTTTTGTTGTTTTAAGCTGCCATGCTATCATGCTTACTTAATACATACAGCAGGCACTGATTTTGGCACCATGTTCCATACTTTGACCTGGTATGAGCTATAGTTCATCCACTGTACATTGACTGATTTTCCTTATCTCATCACTTGTTTCTCAAGCCTTTACTTAATGACCCTGTGTAGGTTTCATTTCCTACAGACAGCCTTTGCAAGCTTTGTACTGCTGTCGGGCAAATGAAGATGCAGTCAAGTCTGCTGCTTGATTTGCACTGCTGTGGCTGAGAAATTTTTTTAAGACTGTAAGAAAACACTGCTAATCATTGACCAGGGAAGGAGATACATGCCTTTTTGGCTCTTATCCCGGGAGCTTGAGTTAGCTGTAAATGATAATGACAGTTGCTAGTTCAGAATATTTGATCCCAGTCAGTTTGTTTCACTCAGAATTGCTATCATTAAGAAGCTGCTTGTAGTTTAATGGAAGTATTAGCACTCTGAGCTGGCACGAGCTAAGTGTTCTGTTCTGCAAGACTGGTTACGTTTTCCACAGGAAATTGTTTTATAAATCATCCTGGAAGTTTAAGCTTATTTGCCTGAGGGTAAAGCATACTATAACGATTTGAAAGGAGTTTGAGAAGATGATGGCATTAGTAATACCTGGGAGCTGCCAGAACTAGACAGAGAAACAACGGATTAAACAAAAAGCTGTCATTGGAAATGCAGTATTTCTGAAACCTTTGTGGGCCTTTGCCCACGTAACAGTTGATGTCCTGGCTCCAGTCCTGCTTCAAGCTGAAGTCAAAGAAGTGTCTTATAGGAAATGAGCATCTTGTAAGACCTGTCCCAAGAGGCAGATTATCTAGTTCTTAAAGACTAAAATTAGAGCTAGTGACAAATTGGCAAGAGATGCTTAGCAAGGGAACAGTAGAAGGGAATAATTTTTGTCAGTCTTTTTCACAGAGTATTTCAGCTGCTTCTTAGTAAAAAGCTTAATCTCCAAAGGCCAAAGTGGCACTCTGATAGAAATACAAAAACTTTCCAATAAATAGATTACCAGTGAAGTGGAGTTGGATGGATTTTTCTTTTTAAGGACTCATGCCTAAAATGTTTTCACATACAATGCTGTGGATTTTTTAATTCATATATATTGCCTCTGAGAAACTTAAATTTTCAAGAGTTTGGATTAATATGGGGCTCTAGACATTTCTGGAGTTGTGAACAAGATGTTTATAATTCATTTTTCCTAAAACCTTAGTCCAGTAAGCTCTTTGCATCACTGTATGCTTTCTTTCACAATACTTAGGCTAGTATGCCAGATTACATCTTAAACATATGCCAGATACATCACATCTTTCCCTGTCAGACCAATTGAATAAATTCCTAGATATGAAGTTCCTAGGGATCACTGTGAACATAAAATTTTATCTCCTCCAAATACATAGCACAGAGCTTCCTTCAGTGAATTCCTGATTCAAATCAAATAGCTACAGTTAAGTTAAAGCTCTCATCTTGTAAAACAAAATCCAAACACTGTACATCCAGAACTCTTCAGCCTCTCAAATACTCAAACGTTTGAAGTTTTCTTTCAGCATAGGCATCAAAATTATAGTACTTTCATGCAAAAATACATAATAATCCCTTCTGCCTTCAGTCAGGAAAGAAAGCAGCATGCAGTTTATACTGTTGTGACATTGAACAGAGATTAGTACCTAGAGAAAGTGAGCTTTCAGCATGCCCTCTTTAAATTGTCTTTTATTGTCCTGCTAAGATGCTCAGGAGTTCTTCTGAAAACTGATGGCTGTAGTAAGGCAAACTGCTTGCCCGTGTTGTAGTGCAAAAAGAAAGAAGATAACAATCAGAATCTCTTGGTCTTAGCAAGAGAAACAACACATTTATGTGCCTAATTTGACTTGTTTAGGAATCCAAATGCTGTGCCATAGCAAAAGTGCAATTGGGAAACATTTAGCTCTGCTGTATATCCAATAAATATGTCAACTTTTACTTGATTTAATCCAGTGCTGAGCTTGGCCCCACGAGCTAACATTTTCAGAAAAAGGAAGTTTCTCCCAGAATGTTTAAATCTTCTTGAGAGCATGAGAGAAGAGATTCAGATTCATTACACAGCAGCTTCCTTCTTGTACTTAAAGGAAAATGTTGTGCATAATGACCGATGTGTTTATATGTCTCAATCTTTTTCTTTCCTTTGCAGTACTTTCCACATAAGAATCTGAAGATGTTTCCGTGAGCCACTGTTATCAGAAATGACTTGCCAGCCCAGCCTTTCTGAATCTCAGGCACTCTGGGGGCTTTTGTCCTCTAATTATGACTTCTTAGAACTCAGCAGAAAGTACGGAAATAATTCTGGTCCACAAAGAGATGGAAGTTTCATGTGATCTGCGGGATACTTGGAACAGTCACATTTTTATCTTCACTGCTGGCCAAGCACTCTGGCAAAGATGGTTGGTTGTTGGGTTGTGGTTTTTCTTTTTCTTTTTCTTTTTTTAAACAGGCAGAATCAGAATCTTATTGAAGGTATTTCCACATATTTTTTTATATTTATGAATATTTAATACTGCTCTTAGAAGTGCAAAAAAAAAAAAAAAAAAAGAAAAGAAGATTGACAGAAAGATTAGCTTTGGTGACCTTTCCAAGAGTATTTGAAAGAAAGCATGGGCCTTAAATAATAAGATGCCTCTATCACTGTGGTGTACAGCTGGGGATCTTGCATGGAAATTATCTTAGGTGAAAGAACTGCAGTCAAGATCAAGCTCCCAGTGTTGAAGACAACCACATCCCAGGTTTGCCTTTCAGTCACTGAAATGGCAGTTGCTGGGTTTGGTGCTTACCTTCAACTAATATTTTATGGATTGTCATGTCCTTGTGAAACTTGAAATATTTGCCTTTTGTATATGATAACTGCATACATGATTCATTTATCCCAAGATAAATGTTAAAACTCTGTCCTTATTCTCAAAGGGGGTCTTGCATTTTACTCATTCTATGGGCTGATGACGTTGAATGGAAGAATATGATAATCTGTAACTCATTAAGAAGTTAAAGAAGCACAGAACTAAGGACATGAAAAGACGTTTTCTTTCTGAACCAGCTATGCAATCTTTCCCATAAAATGCATGAATGCAGCTCTGTATTTTCCTTCTTGAGCTGGAAATCAGCTAGATTTTTTTTTTTTTTTTAATTCCAGTATTGTTTAGGTACTGGGGCCTGAAGACAATCATGTGTATTACTGTTCTAACAGTCAATAGAAGGGCTCTGTCACTTACATGGCTTCTGTATCAAAGTCATCACAATTAAAACTTTTGACACATTCTGTCATGCTTTGAGAATTTTTGCACTAAATGCACATTAATTTCCTGTCTAGTCATTATTCTAATTACTGTAAAGTTAAATCTTTCAAAGGATGAAATGTGTTATTGAAAAAAGTTGTTAAAGAAATTAATCCTTCTACCATTTCTGTAGGGATGATGTTGATGCTTATCTACCTCGGAACCTCTAATATATGGTGAGCTTGCAATGCAGCTTGCTGTTCAGATTTACTCAGTATGCATCAAGAGGAAGTATTTATCTAGCAGTATGGTTGTACAGTAAAATGTTGGATGGAAATTTTGGATATTCAAGGTATACAGGACATACTTGCCTAAGACAGCATAGTGAAAATGAAACTTGTATGTTAATAATAACATTTTTGGAAAAATATTTTTGGAGTGACCATATTCAGTGATGTTTCTAGCATTTTAATATTACTTCCTATTGGTTTCTGTTTAGATAAGGGAATTACAGCCTGAATGCCCTTTGATTTACTTACCCAAGTTAAAATTAGCATAAATCAATCCTGATGCTGGGTTCTGATTGAGTGAGAAGAGAGTCAAGCCTTAACCTTTTTAATTTTGAGCAGATTGATGTATTGGTTGATTCAAACAGTTCACCAAGACGTTGGCATTGAGAGAGATTATGTTAAAATTACTTCCTATTCATTGAAATGCCAGCCTGATAGTTCTTGTTTTCTTTCAAGACACACATTTAATCTTGAAATCTTTGTGAGATGTGTTTTTCAGTCATGATTGTACTGTATAATACCAGGTTGCAAGAGTCTGGATCAGATTCTTCAAAGGGGAGCTGGTGCTGATGACATAGGGCAGTTCCCTTTGACATCACTGTTCTTCTATGTTTTAAAATTTCTGTTAGCTAAAATTCTTTCCTTCTTGATGCTGTGTGTTGTTCCACAATTAGATCATCCTCCCCATTTAAAGAAGACCTCAGTTGCTGTGGAATGTCCTTAGTGTGTTGTTTCCCTATGTCCTCCTGACCTGAAGGTCACAAAGCAGTTGACAAGAGCTTGGGCTTGCAGTCAGATGTTTAACCCTGGAGTCATCCATCTGAGCAGAGAAATAAAGAGAAAAATCAAGTGTGCCCTTTGAAGGAGTACTCCAGTCCACAGCCGAAGGATAATTCTTGCAGAATCCTTCAGATACAAATGTATGCAGTTGTCCAAACTCGCTTTATTTCTTTGACTTGCATTCATCTCCTGTAATGAAAGCCTGAGCAACACAATGTGTTCCTGGAGTTTGAAAGAGATGCGTACTCTAAAGGCTGCTGGAGCAAAACACTCCTACCTAGTAGTAGGTGAGTTACTGTACCACCTGGTGGCAAAGGTAAGGGATAGACTTCTAAAGAAGTTTTGTATTTGCAGTTTCTTAATCGTCTGTAGTTGGATGTCTTCCTACTGGAACTTTTTTTATAGCAAGAGTGTTGAGTGACTAGGCATCCAGCGTGATGCATTGCAAATTGAAATTATGAGGTAAAAAACCAGCTGTATTTCCGCAATAGCATTATTGGCGGAATCTTATAAATTCACTAGCAAGTTTGTTCAGCCAGGGTTACTTATTCGAAAGGAACTATCAGCAATTTAGAAAGAAACTGAAACAGTGAAAGAGATTTGGATTTTAAACATTTTTTTGATTTGGCCTAAGAGCAAAAGCGCATACCTTTCAGATTGCAAAAAAGTCTTAAATGTGAATGGACGTTTCTATATTTGTCTTCAAAATTGGACAAAGTAAAAGGAAGCTGCTACCTAAAGCCTCTGTTAAAAGAGCTTAGAGTGTGTGTGTTAGCTCTAGCTTATACATGTTTAAGCATCTTGGGGACAAAAAGGAGCTGGTGGTAGTGAATAAAACAGTGTCAAAAAGAAGTTAGTTATTAGCACACTTGAATTTATCATTGTTTTAAAGGAATACTGTAAGACAAGATTTATAACAGCCTGCAGGCCAAAATCTGGTCTTCATTACTTCTGTATTGATCTTCAGTAACTGCTGACTTCAGTGGCATTAACTCACGTGTCTGTGGTTGGATCTGGCTTGAGGAAAGCACTTGGGTTTTTGCAGCAGTTCTTTTTGCGCTCTCATGCCCTTTTAATGTAATCTTAAAATGCTGAATGTCCTTGTGTTGGTCGATAACCACATGCTTCTCTTTGTCAACAGACTCAGTGTTGGAATCTCTTGCAATTTCTTGCAATCCTCTAGAAACAATCTCCTTTCCTTTTACCCCCCAGGGCTAATTTTTGTCTCCTCCTCCATGTTAGAGACACTTCTGATGCAAGATCACAAGGTGGCACCATAACATCAAATCAGGTCATGACTTCATTTAACTGTTTTAATGTTCCTGAAACATAGGAGACTATGTAGAATCTATGATGCCACAAACAAAAATATTAAAATTGTGGTTAATTATTGATTTTAAAACTGTAGATAATTACACAGCAACTTCATATGTGATCAAATTCATGAAGTTAAATCTTACAAGGGGCAAAACTAAATATTTTGAAACAGATGTATGAAAACTTAATGATTTTATAGAATAATTTGTGTACATGAGAATTTTTTTCTTGATACACACACTAGCTGGATTGTGACCCAGTACAATGGCAATACTCCTTTCCAGTATTCTGTCTCAAATGCAGGTATTGTAATTTTCCGTGCAATTGCTCGTTTCCTTTTGTGTGATGTTGGTCTCAGTGATATCTGATATTGATCAGAATAATGGGTTAATATTTTCCCTTTATGAGTCAATATGCTTTTAATTCCATCTCTTCAGTTTTGATGTCTTTCAGTATCACTTGGTATTCTTTGCATTTTTTTCATTTTGCAATAGTAGTGCCTCATGGTTTTTTGTTTGTAAAAATCATTATTTCCTATCACCTGTCGTGTGTTCTCTGGAAACATGATAGCCACAGCTGTTGTGGGTAATAGCAAATATTGATTTGTAGAAATGCTCCTGTATTTTCTGCCTTATCTTTTATAAGTTATTCCAGCTTGTTTGCCTTAGAACAGTGACAAACACAAAGCTGAAGCCTTTATAGGTGGTCTGTGGTATTTATATGTTTTTGTTGGTATGAGAAAAAACAAGAATGGATTAATTAAACTTTTATTGTTTTAGATCTGCATTATCTGATGCATTGAAGTTTACCTACCATAATGTTTTCTGTTAACAAGTTTTATATTTGATTGCTGTGAAGCATCTCCATCTCAGATGACGCATGTATTTCATCTTCAATGGGACTGAGGCATATGCCTAATGTTCAACATGTGGCAAACGTACTGTTCTGAGTAGAAGTGTTGCTTCGAATGGAGGTCTAACTGAGGTAAGGCACCATATAGGACATTATCTGTCTTCTTGCAGAGATGGAATCTGTTCTACTCTTTGTTTTTTTTTTTTTTTTTTTTTTATGAAAACAGCATATTAATGTAAGTGTTTTTTATTAAAATCCCTGAAAATTGAAACATACATTAAAAATTAAACAAATAGGGATTTTGTTGCAGAAACGATAAAACCCCATATTCTAGAGACCTGAAACATTTGAGATTATATTCTGAAATAGCAGAATATAAAGTAAGCTAGAGACAGAGTTTTTGTTGTGGAATGGGAAATATTACACTTCTCAGCTCAGGATCCACACTAAATGAATTTGGGCTGAAATAAGAGCAGGATTTAAGAGTTTATAATATTATTGCCAATACACCTCAACTGGGACAGACAGTGGAATTAAATTTGATGAGGAAGACGTTAAAGATAATAAAATTATAATTGTCCATGTCCTTAGATATGTGTCTGAGACAGAAGCGAAGGACATAGTGAACAGATGTTCTGCTTTTTTCTCTGTATCGGTTTGCAGTTACGGATGTCTTGTAGAGATGTTAATGACACTGAGTGACTATCA